TAACTCAGTGGTAAAGCACTTGCCCGGCATGTGTGAGTTCAATCCCAATACTGCAAAAAAAAAAAAAAAAAAAAGACAAGAGTTGGCAAACCTGTTTTTAAAGAGTTGTGTCTGAGATATAGGACCTGGGAGTTCAGGGTATTACAGACTGCCAGCAAATGTTTCAGCATTATTACCTATCAGCCCTTCGGTCATTGATTTGATTTAATTCCAAGGTATATCCTTTGTGTTTCATTGTTTTGTGTTTTGTTTTGAGATAGTCTTGCTAAGTTGGGTTAGCTGGCCTTGAATTCCTAGGCTCAAGTGATCCTCTTCCCTGTTTTGGACAGGTGAATGCTCCTGCACCTGGCCCTATAACAACAATATGTCTATAGATTTGACTTTGAATCACAGCATTCACAAATGTATTTTTGCAGTGTCTATCAGATAAAACTAATGACTTCTTTTTCAGTAGACATGCACTATTTTTACCCCAAATGTTCTCATTTTTTGAAATCATCAAATATAAAATATGAAAACTTGAATTTATCCCAGATATTAGGATATAGTTGTTGAACAAGAGTTGCTTTATTGTACCAGAGTTCACAGTAGACTTTCTTTCATTGCAAACTTCTCTAGTGCTTTTTAAATTATTGAATTTTATAAATTAATATTTATATTAAACTTCAATTGTCATCCATTGTGTAAATACAGTAGTGTTGTAAACATAAGTGGTGAAGCCCACCAAAACATTAAAAATGCAATAATAAGCTGGGCATGGTGGCTCATGCCTATAATCCCAGCACTCAGGCTGAGGCAAGAGAAAGATCATTGAGAGCTTGAGACCAGCCTGGGCTACAAAGTGAGCTTAAGCCCAGCCTGAACTGCATAACAAGATCCTGTCTGGGGAAAAAAAAAAATGAAAATGCAGTAATGACTTCTTAATATATGAAGCTTTTTTTTCCCTGAGATACTTAACTTGTGTGATACATTTTTTCATGCTTATTCCTGTTAGTGTGGAGGTTTCAAGGGCTAGAATAGTGATAGCAAACCTTTTAGAGTTTTCAGTGTTACAAATTAGCCCCCTGCCCACTGGCTAGGATCTTGCCTTTGTTCCACTTCCCGTAACTCTTTGTGCTATAATCTGGCAATAAGAAGAGTCAAGTGATTATTGCTATCTCTCTTAAGATTGTGACCCTGAATCATGGGAAGCACATGAGCTTCCTAAAATAGTATAGGCTAGGAGCTGTCATCCAGAGGATTTTACTCATTTGTTCCACTTACTAAATAATCTAATCTTTAATCTTTAGCTTTTAGAAATAACCCTCCAGGTGTAATTTAACATTCTAATGCTGTTTAGCACTTAGGCATTTATCTTTCTAAACCCTGAACCAATCTTGAACTAGTCCATATGGCAGTGTCTGGAGAGAGTTAAGCAAAGTAACTCAAAAACTTGAATAGTGCTATAAAATGTAGGCTGTATATTCATTTTGCCTGGCATATCTTCTATGTGTAACCAAAGAACAAGTACAGAATTTCCTAAAGGAGCTGGGTGCATGGTGTTGTGTGCCTGTAATCCCAGCCCTGGGAAGGCTAAGACAAGAGGATCACTGTCTCAAAAAAAAAAAAAAAAAAAAAAAATTTCCTAAAGGAAACATGAAGATTTTTTTTTCTTTCCTTGAACAAGAACTCGTACCCAATGGGTCAGGAAGAAATCAAGCTCATTTTATTAGAATGATCTTTTGTGGAAAAAGCTTATACCTGTATATTGTCATTGTTCATGACAGATAAAAATAGCAGTGTTGGTTGCTTTTTAGGGATTATACTTTCATCTAAATATTTGGTTCTTTTTAAAGAATTATACCACTTAACTTTAGTGATAGTTCCAACTATTCTAAGTATCTTAGTAGAGAATGCAGCAAATCCTTGAGAGTGATAGCAACTTGAAGATCTATCAGTAAAGAAAACCAAAAGATAATTTTCCTTTTGGAGTTTATGTTGTAATGCAGGAATCATCAAACCTTTTCTGTAAAGAACTAGATAGTATTTTAAACTTTGTATGTAGTTATATTCTGATAAAACTACAGAACTATAGTCTGGATTTGGCCCAGAGGCCATAATCTCCTGAGCCTTGTCCTCATAAATGGATATTGCCTTAATAAGTAAGTTAGTCTTTTGGTTTTCTTTACTGATAGATCTTCAAGTTGCTATCACTCTCAAGGATTTGCTGCATTCTCTACTAAGATACTTAGAATAGTTGGAACTATCACTAAAGTTAAGTGGTACAATTCTTTAAAAAGAACCAAATATTTAGATGAAAGTATAATCCCTAACTTATTAAGATAAGCAAAGGTACATAATCAAACAGGGAGTTTGATGAAGTGCAGAGGTTGAGAGAGTAGGCCTCACTGAAGCAAAGAACAGGAGCCAGGAAAGAATGCAAAATGAGTGGTAAGATAGAAAAACAGAAGATGGCACTGTCCTAGAAATACAGTGAAGGATCATGTATTGGGAAGAAAGGACATCACATGTTGATAGGTCAAGTAAGAAAACTAAGACTAACCATGGGATTTAGATACATAGGTAATATTTGTGATGTCCATGAGTAGTTTTGGTAGAGAGAGTTCAAGAGAATTAAAAGAAACAGACTATTCTTTTCAGGAATCTTTGTTTAAAAAGAACTAAGAAATGAAATCATGGATCAAGAGAAGAGTTTTTTTTTTTTTTTTTTTTTTTTTTCAGGTAGAAGAAATAATAGCATGTTTGTGTGATAGAAATAAGCCAGTAAAGGGTAGGGGGAAATGATGTAGGAGAGTGGGAGAAAATTACTGGAGCTCGATGACGTTGGGTTGTTGGTAAGGGGACAAGAGAAGGGGTTGACATCAATATGTAGAATTTTGGGAGGTAGACAATCTGTAGACATTCTGTTGTGGTTTCAGTTTTCTGATTAAAAAATTATCAAAGACTATAAAAGCTGAAATGCAAAAGTTTAATACTGTGTAGAGTGGTATTTAAGTTCACAGACTTGTTTGCAAACAGTTTGGTTCATAGACAAAAGTGTTCAGCAGAATTTTGCTTCTATTTGCAAGCTCCACATTATGTGACAGACATGATCACATCCATCTTCCCCACACAAATACAAATACAGCCATCTTAAAATGAATTAAGCTCATAAACCAAGTTACTACTGGACTTACAGTCTTCAACTTCAAGTACCAGCGTTTGGGGGGGTCTTTGACAACTAAGTTTCGGTTTTTGGTTTTGTTTTTTCTACTGTCTGAGTTATAAAATGAATTTGTGTATTTTCAGAGTTAAACCCTACATTATGAGAGTAAATGATGCATGTAATGTCTGGTATCACGTAAGACACTGAAGAAATGCTAACTGTAATTAGTGGGTATAGACTCAGTAGGCATAAACTAGGCTTACTTCATGTCTTTAGTCCTAAGATACAACTTAGCATAGTTTTAAATGTTATAGAAGTTAAAGTTTGACAGTATTAAGTAGGTAGGCTACATTTAAATCTCAGGCCCTTCAGTATCTCCCCTGCGTTTTCTTTACTTCATGGTAGTCTCTTCATACAGTGATCAGTGATATCACTGCTCCAGTAATCAGGGAGAAGTTTTAATCAGGGGTTCTCTACCAGGGAGCTTTGTTCTCATGTGTTTAATTATTTTACCATCAGATTGTTAATTTCTTTGTACAGTAAAGTAACTTCTTTTGTGTATATCATCCTTTAGATTGTAATCCCCTAGAAGGTAGGTAATAAGTCATACATCTCTAAGAAAATATTTGAAGTAATAGTTTATATAAAGAGAATGTTCAAAAAAATAATTAAATCAAGAGGTTTTCGGTTCAACTTAGATACCCAGTTCTTCTGCCTTGCTTTGAATAAACTCAGACTATTCCACCTTTCTAAAAAATTCTGCTGCTAAGTTACAGTATGTTGGAAGGCTGGATGTGGTGGTGCATGCCTAGTATCCTAACTTTCTGAAACAAGTTTGAGCTCAGGCTCAGTACCTTAGTAACTTAGACCTTGTCTCAAAGTAAAAAAAATAAAAAGAAGAGACTAGCGATGTAGCTTAGTGTGAAGGCCCTGGTGAAGTTCTGTCCCCAGTACTGGAAAAAAATATATATATATGACTTAACAGTAATTAGTAGAATACCTTTAAAATGGTAAGCACATAACAAGCATAATTGGCATGCACATCTGTTGGAATGCCACAAAAACTAACCACAATCATAAAAAGCTTGTTAGATAAGAATACTACACTAAATATAGCATATAGAAAATCAAAGTAAAAAAATTTTAGCTGGGGATTTAGCTCAGAAGCATAAGCACTTGTCTGGCAAGCGCGAGCGAGATTATGAGTTCAATCCCCAGTACCAAAAAAAAAGAAAGGAAGGAAGGAAAGACAGAAAGAAATTTGAGGCTGGGGATTTACCTCAGTGGCATAAGTGCCTGCCTTGCAAGCACACAGTTGTGAGTTCAATCCCCGGTACCAAAAAAAAAAAAAAAAAATCAAAAAATTGTGTAACTACAAGAAAATAACTTTGGCTACCTTTACACACTGTACCAAGATATACAATGAATGAAGTCCTTAAAGAAGTGACATTCTTACCAAGTTCATACTACAATATATAATGGTTGTCAGACTAAAAAGAGCAAGTTAAAATGACTCTTTCACTCTTCATTAGCCACTGTGATTGAGAGGGAAATGACAGGACTATTTCCTTTATAAGAAGCAACTATATTTAAATTTAGAATAATTATTTTTAAAACAGAGCATCTAAAACTATAAAAGAATGTTAAATCTCTAGAAAATTTTGAACAGGCTTTTTTTTTTTTTTGAGGAAAGGTTTTACTACATAGTCTAGGCTGACCTCAAACACATGGCAGTCTCCCTGCCTCAGCCTCCCAAGTGCTAGGATTATAGGCATGTGCCAACATGCGTGGCAGAACAAATCATTTCTTGAAATCCATGTTGTTTGAAACTGTACTTGTTTTCTTTGTATTACAGGTCCAGTTGTTTATGTCTTGGATCTTGCAGATAGACTGATCTCGAAAGCTTGTCCATTCGCTGCAGCAGGGATAATGGTTGGCTCTATCTATTGGACAGCTGTGACCTATGGAGCAGTGACAGTGATGCAGGTTTACTGTTTTATTCTATTTAGTATTACTACTTTTTATGTGAAGATCTAGTAAATATCTTAGGAGTTACACATATTATCATGGCTTTAAAATAAGAAAATGTATTAAAAACACTGAGCTAGTCCTGTGCGCCTCTTCAGGTAGCTACTATAGCCACTGTTTGTTTTCTGGGTTTCTTTTGAGACAGGATTTTGCTGTGTAGTTTAAGCTAGCCTTGAACTCATCATGTATCCTAGGCTGACCGTGAACTCTTTGCGATCCTCTTGCCTCAGCCTTCTGAGTGCTGCGATTACAGGCTTGTGCCAGTAGTCCCAGCACTATGTGCACTGTTAGCTTCATACATATTCTTCCACACCGACTTTAATGTGTTCGTAAGAAGAGAAAACGTTTTCCTCCCAAAGAAAACATTTCACTCCTGTACTGGGATTGAACTGAGGACCTTCCACATGTTAAACAAGTGCTCTGCCAAGGAGCTACATCCCCCAACACTTCTTGAGACAGTGTCCCATGAGTTTGCCCAGGCTAGCTTTGAACTTAAAATCCACCTGCCTCATTTTTATCAGTATCTCAGATTAATAGATGTGCAGCACCATGTCCAATACAACCAACATTTTTTATAGTGAATCCTAGCGATCTTTTCCTATAAACACAGAAATCTGCATGGCATTCTTTGTAGACAATTATAACAGTATACTAATCAGTCTGTTAGAGGCCAGTTATTTACTTCTAGTCTTACATGGTTATAAACAGTTGTTGTAGTCAAGGGTTGTGCTGAAAGCAATTAGAATCAGGACACAGAATTTATATTATTATTTTATGATGGTTACCCAGAGTAAAACACAAAGTGCAGGACATCTGTCTACAATGCTAAAGACCCAGAATATTCAGCCAAGGGCATGGATCCCACAGCAATGTTCTGCATGAGTCCAGATGAAAATCTAGAGCCCACATCAATGCCTTCCACAAGTCTAAATGGAAGTCTAGAGCCCATGACAAAGATGCACGCCTGTCTCTTTTACGGATCTGTACTGGGAAGGCCCATAGGTCAGCAGTAGAAGCTAGAAAGTCTATGCCAGCAGGGTAAAGGAGCTATGCTGATGGGTTGACAGTTTTACACCGGCAGCTGAGAAGTCATGCTCAAGGCTGCCCTGAAAAGTACCACAGCCATCCTTAGTGACACAGAGGCCCCAAGCTCCTCCAATGGGAGCAGTAGAGTACATGACAAAAAGCCAGCATGACAAGTTTCTCCTGGAGATTAAATAGCACACATATTCCCCTCTGGAGCCAGGAAACGATGGCTTGATGTAAGGATCAGAGCTCTCTCCATAGCCACTCTCATCAACAAGGTCCTAAGCTCCTCAGATGACCATGGTCAAACTCAAAATGGGGAAGCTAGACATGACGAGCTTCCCCAGGAGAACCAATGGCTCAAACAACACTTAGAGAAACCCACAACACCTCACTCTTCTCCAAGTCTATTTATGCTGGCAACTTTCCTCAGGTGGGCCATCTATGCGCAATACCATACTGATTTAATTCAGCTGGTATTAAACTGACCCAGTTTTTAATCCATAACAACAGTGTTAAAATCAGTAATTGTTGAAGATTAAAGAGACTCAGTTTCAGAATTTAGTCCCAAGACCTCTTCTTCCTATGTCTCTTTCTAAAATATTTTCAGATATCTTCTCTGTTTGTTGCGTGTTCAAATCTTTCACACTATTTTTCCTTAAATCCAGTTCTTTAATTGCAGCTTGACTCTTTAATGACCTCCATTCAGCATTATTGAAATCAAATTTAATTTTTATTCAGTTTGAAACCTAAACTTATTCCCTATCATAATTTTTCTGTGTCTTTTGAGATCTTACTGTGTTGCCAGACTCACAGCAGTCTGTTTGCCTCAGCCTCCTGACTTGTGGGATGACAAGCATGTCCCACCATATCTGGTTACTTCTGTGTATCGATTCCTACTGTTTTCCCATCTATTCAGTTTACATTCTACATTCTTGAGAGTAAATTGTTCTTTCTAGTTCTTAACCCCCTTCAGTCTAACCAAGGCCAAGTAGTTTTCCATTTTGATTCACGGCTGCCTTACTATAAGCTTTGCTACCTGTTGGCCAGGCATTATACACATGCCTATAATCCCAGCACTGGGGAGACTGAGGATTGCCATGAGTTCAGTGCCAGCCTGGACTACAAGTGAGACCCTGTCTCAAAAAACCAAAGCAAAACAAAAACCAGCACTTAGCTTCTAGATTGGTTAAGTGTTTTATAAATAACTCGGTAGTACTTAACATTTGGGTTTATATAATTTGCTTTTCTCTAATATACAGTGTGCATTGAAGAAAAACAAATAGAGCCAGGCATGGTGATACACACTATTGCAGCAGTTTGAGGCCAGCCTGGGCTATATAGGGAGATCCTGTCTCGAAAGAAAGAAAAGAGAGAAGCACCTGAAAAGCATACATTCCACCCTTGAGCTAAAATCTCATCCCCAAGAAGCGGGTTTTTAGGCCATGTCCTAAAGGCCAGTCCAAATCTAGGCAGACTAGTCACCTTCTAGAAAGAATGGCAAGGATTTAGATGTTCTTTTAGATAGGAGACAAGTGGGATCTAGAATTATATTCCAGTCCTACAACCCTACACATCAAGTAAAAATGGAAACAAAAACCAAATGTCTATTGAAATGTATTCTGTGTGATCTCCCATTGTGAAAGCTTTTTATTCCATGTAATGTAAAATAGTTTGGAAATTTTTTTTTCCTTGAATAAAGGTATTTCTAATAAATCAGAACTGATAGGTTTTCAGCTTTTTTTTTTTTAAAGACAGGTTTTCACTATGGCCTTGAATTCACTTTGTAGCCCAGGCTGGCCTCGAACTTACAGCAATCCTCCGCCTCAGCCTCCCAAGTACTAGGTTATAGGTGTGCAACACCACTTCTGGCTCAACTTATGTTTAAAACTTTTTATGTCTATATTCTTCTGAAGTTAAACATTTCCTACAAAATGAGCTGAGCTCAAATTTTGCTTTATTAGATAAGTGAATCTATCAAATACTATCTGTTTCACAGGTTGTAGGCCATAAAGAAGGGCTGGATGTGATGGAAAGAGCTGATCCTTTATTCCTTTTAATTGGACTTCCTACTATTCCTGTCATGCTGATACTAGGCAAGATGATTCGCTGGGAGGACTATGTACTTAGACTATGGCGCAAATATTCAAATAAACTGCAAATTTTGAACAGTATATTTCCAGGTAAGAACCTGATCATGGTTATAAAGTGCATACCAAATTAACTGTGTAGAAGAACCGTAACGTAGTTTTTTAGAAGTGTTTGAAGAGGTTTTTTTTTTTTTTTTTTTTTAAACTATTCTGCAGTATTAATACTAATGCACTGTGGTTTTTGGTTTTTGTTTGTTTGCTTGGTCTAGGGATTGGTTGTCCTGTTCCTCGAATTCCTGCTGAAGCTAACCCTTTAGCAGATCATGTCTCTGCTACCCGAATTTTGTGTGGAGCCCTTGTCTTTCCTACTATCGCCACAATAGTTGGTAAACTGATGTTTAGTAGTGTTAACTCTAATTTACAAAGGACAATCTTGGTAAGATGGTTTTAATAATACATTTTTTGAAGTGGCATACAAAAGAGAATGAACTGTTTTTATTTTAAAAAGGAAGGGGAACTATATAAATGCTCAATTTGTGGCTGTCTGCCTTAAACTTCTATTTGATCTCCTTGTCAAGCCACTAACTTGAGTGGAAATAAAATGGGGAGGAACCCTTACAGTTCTGGCTTTCTGAACTGTTTTGTGGTTACTTTCTCTTCCAGAATATACATGAATCATCACACCCATCCTTGTTGCCATTTGAGTTATGGTAGAGTTTCTGCTGTGGGGTCAGGCTCTGCCTCATTCAAATCCTAACACAGCTTCGTTGTGAAACATAAATCAAATTTATGACTTCTCTGTGCCTATAGAATGGAAATGGAAATAGTAGCTACCTCAAATTAGGGTTAAGTATGTACTGGCACAGAGTGAACATGCATATCATTTATTGTCATTTTTAGTATTGTTACCATTTAACCCCTCTGGTGGCAGTCTGCACCTAGCATAGTGTCTATATCTCTTCCCCACCTCACCCCGTAGTAGGGAAGAGAATGTTTTACTTGCAGTCATCTGAATTCATCAAAGCCTGTTATCTTTTGTAATCTAAGTGAAATTCTTTTTATCATGTTTCTCTAAAATTGAAATATAAAACGTAACTTTCTTTTTATTTTAGGGTGGAATTGCTTTTGTTGCCATAAAAGGAGCATTTAAGGTTTACTTCAAACAGCAGCAATATTTACGTCAGGCACACCGCAAGATTCTAAATTATCCTGAGCAGGAAGAAGCATAAAACCATGACTTCTGGGTCTTCTGCAGCCCTCATCCATGAGTCTGTTGTCTGGTTTTGAATCCACCATTAGTGCACTAGTGGAGACTTGTGATAAGCTGCTGCTCCTATATTTTTAACAAGTATAATAAAGCACTTAGGGCAGGGGAAATCCTCAGTAATCACGGAACCTAAGGATGTGATTTATTGTCATTGTTTTATATGTACTTCTTTTAAGGCAGTCATCTAAACTGTTCTCTTTGCATGGTAAACTGGGTTCATATTTTCTCCAGACAGAAATGTAAAGATCAATCTGTACAAATATAAAAATGCATATGCTATTTTATTCTGATGTCTCTTTTGTATATGTTCATGTTCAGTATTTTCTTAGAATAAGCAATTCAATGAAGATACTATGAGGATTTTTCTCATTGGAATAATTTGATTATATACTAAATGAACATGTTAATACGTGGAAATGTAAATTAAATTAGTTATGAACAAATAAGCCAAAAATGTATGTAAACATTCACATTATTATCTGAAAAATGAAATTTTGTTGTATTTTCCTTAACCCATGTGATGTTCTCCAAAGTACATAGGATAAAAGTTTACAGGGCTTCCAGATTAAATTTTCACTATTAAATTTATTTATACAGTTTTGACATAACATACTTTATGAAGTAATTTGACTCATGTAGTCTTGATTACAGTGTATAACTGTCTCATCAGGTACATCAATCTCAAATGAGGTTTTTAAATCTATATTTCTAGAAATTAGAGTTGTCAGTTTATAGTAGTTTGAGCAGAAAATGATTTGCAAAAAAACAAGAACAAAAAATATATTTTACTTTGCCCTTTCAGTTACTCAGATATTTGCTGATCACTTCCCTCCTAATTGCCTCAGCGCTACTGAGTGCTGTAGATACAGTGGTGAACAGGCAGGCGTGGTCCCAGTGCTGATTTTACAATCAGTCAATGAGGAGCTAATTATGAAAATAAGGATGTGTTGGATAAATTTTGAGGTTATTGTTTTTGGCTAAGTCTGTTTATTAGAAAAACAATACTGATGATTTTAAATTGTAATTGTCACATCAAAAAAGTTAGCACCTTAATCATTGTTTAACTTAGTTTTTTATTGTTCAAAAGCATATATTTATTTTAAGCCATTTTCTGTGGAGTGGGCATCTTAATGTTGTTCAACAATCCAAATGGTGTTTTGGTTATTTTCATTAATTAAAAATTTTATAGATAGTTCCAAAAACCCTGTTTTTTGTTCACAGTATCTAATACGTAACAGTAGTAAATGCTTCCCCGTACTGGTAAGTGCCCACTTTATGCGTTTAGCAAATATAGACTGGGCGATGTTAGATTGCAATAATGTATGTTAATTTTAGTTATTAATAACTGATATTTTTCTGTAGTATTAATGTCTTAATTTTGAGTTATGTAGTGTTACTGTGAATGACTGTGGAATATTCAGAATTAGAATTTCTTGGGGTGGGAGAGATTTGAGTGAGCGAGCCTTATTGAGAACACTGCTACTATTCTGAAGGGAGAATTTTAAATCTATGATTATATATAAATATAACTTAGACTCTGTAGCTGTAATTATAAAGTATATTGGCTTTGAATTTTTCAATATGAAGAGATATAAAGTAGACATTTCCTGCATAGTTTTGTTATATAATAGAACAGTTCTTAGTCTTTTCTAAAGTTGCATATTGTCCCCTATATACTACTTCAATGCCTAAGATGAGGAATAGCTACTGGGGTTTACTGGCATTAAGCCCCATGGAGGGGAGGAACAACTCTAATCCTTGGGGGAAAGGAGAAGGGGTTTCTAGGGCTACAAAGAGATAACAAGTGCCTGGAGTCCAGTGGCCTCTAGCCCTAAAAATGAATACTTTTAAGAAAGACCATGCGCCAGCTTTCTAGGAAGGTGGCCTGCCCCATCACAAAGCAGCAAAATATCAGAGGCAGTTTTTAAAAGCTGCATTCAAATCCTAATTCAGCTTTTAATAACTATGACCCATCATGGCTAAGTGACTTAACTGAGACTTCTCAGCCATAATTCTCTTCATCTCTGAAATGCAAAGTAATCATTAGAAGACTATTTCTAGTAGGATTACATAAGAAATTAAAAGAATAGAGGCATTTTAAGTCCCTAAAGAGTAGTAGTTGATTCTTAGTTGCTGAATAGTTTGTTAGTACTCTAGGGAAAGGGAAGAAAGAGGGTAAAAGAAAGCAGTAGAGGACAAATGAAAGTGATGATGCTGGCTGTAGTACACATGCCTGTAGGCAGGAAAATTACCATGAGTTCAAGACCAGCCTGAGCTACATAATGAGATCCTGTCTCAAAAAAACCAACCAAATAAAAAATTGATGTAGACTTTTTGAGATGGATGGATATATTTTTTGTTTTCCTGGTTATTTTCACACTGCTTTTCTGTCACTTACAGCAACTTTAATGTTTAAACCTCTTTTATGAAATCCAATGACTAGTAGAATTTCTGTTCTTTGTAGATGTTAACTTATCTCCATTTAAGTGGCTGAAAATAATGTCCATCGTTACATAAGTATCAAATACTGTGAAGCATATACAATTAGTGACTTAATTAGTCACTGCCTTGCTAATTTTGCTGTAATTTTTTTAAACGTCTTGTTTTTAATATAGCAAACTTATCTCAGTACTGGCTGGATTAGGTTGAATAAAGAATTTTTATGTTCTCTAGGTGTACTTTGTCTTTTGAACGAATTCCAATTCGTTAGCTATGTACCTATTGTTTTAAAACAATGAGACTTTCTAGTGAGACTTTTTTTTTTATAAAAATCTGAATTTCAGGGAAAAAAGCGGTGGCACATGGCTATAATCCAGACTGAGGCAGAAAGATTACCACTTGAGTTCAAAGCCAAGGTCATATAGAGAATCCTGCCTTACAAAATCAAAATAATCCTTCCCAGGAATTGGTATTAATTGTATAATCAGGTTAACCTAAATTCTAAGTATGTTATAATTAAAATGTACCCTTGCTTTCCCACCATTAGTTTCTTGGGCTAAGTATGCTTAGACGAGATCTGGGGGTATTGTCATGCTGTGGGCTCTTAGAAGAGTAATCAGAGCCAATTGCTGCCTCTCAGGTGCTAAAAATTCACATTTCTGATGGAGCAGATTAGAGCTTCTGGAGTAAGTAGATCTAGTACAGGTCCACATCCATGAAGGTTGATTGTATTGGTTTTTGTGGGTTTTTTAATTGTTTGTTTGTTTTTATTTTTGAGACAGGAACTCACTATGTGGTATGAGCTGGCCTCAAACTCACGGCAGTCCTCCCGCCTCAGACTCTGAAATGCTGGGATTACAGGCATGTGCCCCTATGCTCAATGATTGTTTGGTTTTAAGTGATTTGATTGTCCACCTTGGAGAGAAAGACTAATTGAAATGCTGAGAGTTGGACGGGCCTGCATGTATGATGTAGCTGATAATAAGGGCAGTGTTCTTCTCAGACCTTCCATTTCCTTATCAGTGGTACTAAGATTACAAAACCTGTGTTTTGCGTTGCTGTGAGAATTAATAAGGTAACCTTTTAGGACAGAGTTTGGTACATGGAAAAGCTAAGCAGAGCTGTACCCATGTACAAGCAGAAATGCCCATGAGCTTTCGTTGGTCTACTGAAATCATGGTTGCTTCTTCCCTACAACCTGCCATTCCTCCTCATCATGCATATTAGAAATGGCCAAATGGTGGAAGGACCTATTGTATTGCATCCTGACAGAAAGGAAGTCTGAGTGTGCTTACACACTTATAACACAACAGAAAGGAGGACCTATCAGGGTGAGGCTTTTGCTTTTTTCGTCTCTGTCCAAAACAATAGTCCAGCATATGGCTAGTAGGGACGTGAAAAACATTCTGAATCTCAGGGAAAGCAGTCATTTTAAAGTCAAGGTATTAGTGCTCTTCTGAGTTGCTAAAAAAGTAAATACAGCTGCCAAGTATAATGATACACCTGTAATTCCAGGTAACTAGGCTGTAGCTAAAAGATTACAAGTTAAGGGCAACCTGGGTTATTTAGGGAAATAGGGATATAGCTCAGTTATATATATGTCTAGCATGCAAAAGGCCCTGAGTTACCCAGGACTGAAGAAAAGAATTGTATTTTCTCTTCCATTGAGCTATATCCCAATCCTAAAACAACTCCCCACACACACACACACTTTGTGGTTTAGGCTGGCCTCAAACTCAGGGTGGACCTCTTGCTTCTCCTTCACAAGTGCTGGAATTATAGGTATGTGCTATAATGCCCAGCATAAGCAACTTTTAAAAGGTGCAAAACCACTTTAAATCAAGTAAATTGTGAAGGGCAATTGATCAGCAAACCTATCATAAGAAAACAGCATTTCCCTGACCCCTTTAAAATTCTAATTTCTCATCATCAATATCTGCAACCAGCATGAACAGCAAATGTCTGCCTCCTGAGGGTACTGTACTGGGTTCAATCCCCAGAACCACCTCCTGCCCCCCAAAACATTATTAACTCAAAACCTCTGGACTCAGCATATCTGCTCTTGAAAAGGGTACTATACCTATAAAGTCTAATAGGAAAAGGGTGGATTGTTTTTCATCAATCATATGGAAAGGCCATATTACCACTTATTCAAAACAGTCCAAACTAGATGAACATTTCATTATCTCCAGCATTAGGGCAGAAGGAGAAGGAGAAGAATGTATTTTGCATTGTTTTGTATTGTTTTTGAGACATAAACATGAGAAGAGAAGGACACTTCAGTATTTTATGAAAATTCTTTTTTTTTTTTTTTTTTGCCTGTCACTTGTGGACTGAAAATTTTATGAAAATTCTGAAAAATATTGACACTAGCCTCGAGTGCTCAAATATATTTAAAAGGGATAGTGTAGTATGGGAGAACCAAAATGGCAGAGTAGTACTCAGCAAAATTCAGCCTCTCCAAGAGCTAGAATCCAGACACCTAGAAAGTGGACAACTTGGCAAAGAATAAAAGATCATCTCTGGGAGGCATGAAGGAACTGTCAGGAAAACTAGAAGACAGCAGAGGAAAGAATGAAGCACTTGGAAGCTTACCCGCTGTCCCTTCAAGGGGAACCATCTCTACAAACACAAGGTATGCAACCAGTCAAGAGCTCCAACGAGAAGCCAAGGGCTGGGTCAGTAGCACTGCCCCCAAGAAAAACCCACAGCTGTTGTAAACTGCAAAGTCAGCATGGAATTTTACTGTGAGGTGACTCCTTGCACATAGCAAGCACCCTTTGGAAAAGGAACCCACTGCAGCACCACTGTGTTGACAGTGTTTAATCAGTTACCATTTCAGGAAGCAGTTGATCATAACTGAAACTCAGAACAACTGAAAAAAACAAACGCCCCTGGGTTCCCAGTGTAACCCTCCCACAGTAGGTAAGAGACAGCTGAAGGACGTATCAGTGGACACGGTATGGATTCGACATAGACTATCAGAGAAGGCTAAACTCAGGCTGGGAAGGACATGGGACCCTGCCCTCCATGATGAGAAGCCAGACCTGGCTTGGGGGCGCTCAGAAGTGACTGAGTCTGAAAGTCCTGGCAGGAAGTAGAGTAGACCACTTGGACCCTTGCTTTGCTGCCTACATCCCCCACCAATCAGAGCTCTTTTCTCCCCATTTGTCAACGTGAATGAACATCTGAAGAATGGGGTAGGGCAGCTCATAAACCCACAAGCCATAAAGCTAGATGGAAAAAAACGACATGCTGGATTCCAAAACTGCATCCTGGAAAGAAACCTTTCAAAATACAGAGAAATTTTTTAAGTTTTTTATTTTTTTTTCCCTTGTTTTTTTCTTTCTTGTTCTTTTCTGCTCTTTGTAAGGATCCTTTATCTCAATTTTATCTCATTTTCCACTTCTTAATGTTTCAAATGTTTCTTTCCCCTTCCCCATGCTCTTTATCTGTAGTACTAGTATAACCATTAAGCTTTATTTATCTCTGGATAATTAACTATGTTATTACTGTTGAATTACTTTGTATTATTAGATAAGTTTCATTTAGTAGATATTTACTTGGTTTGTCTCTGTTTCTTTTGTTGTTTTTGGGGGGGTTGTTTGGTTCTGGGTTTTTTTTAATATCATTTTCTCCTCCCTTCTCCCACCCCTCTCTTTGTTTGAGACAGGGTCACACTGTAATTTAGGCTGTCCTTGAACTCACTAGTCCAGGCAGGACTTACAGTGGTCCTCCAAAGTGCTGGGATTATAGGCATGTACCACCACCCCCCACGCACCCAGTTTATAGATTTTTTTTTAATTTTCTGGGCAGGTATAGTACATTATTGGTTCTTAGGGTATGTTCAATTTATATGTTCAGTGCTGTTACTGTTGCTTATTTACTTGCTTTTTCCAGGATGACATTGTTGATAAATAGATTTTTTTTCTGTATGCCAATATCTAGATTGCCTTTCTGTCATCAACACTACTATGATCCCTTCCTGGAGAGCTGGGTGCAGGGTACATTATTGCATCCTCCTCTCCCAAATTAACAGAGGTGGTCACATCATGAGGCAAAGAACCATATTAGCCATGCTTAGAGTGCATTACTGAAAAGTAAACACTAAAGAGATGTCCATATTAATAACTAAGTCTCCCCTGTAAGTGCCTGTAAATAGCACAAAACAAAATTTAAAAAAGAACAGAAATGTGGAGAAAGCTGGGTGTGGTGGTATACTCTTATAATCTCAGCATTTGAGGGGCTGAGATGGGAGGATCGTTGCAAATTCAAGACCAGCTTGGGCTACAAAGTGAGCTCAAAGCCAGCCTGAACTGCATAAGAAAACCCTTCCTCCAAAACAGAAAGAAAGGTGAAGAAAATAAAAAAGGCAATAAAACACCTCAAAATACTCCCAGCATCCTCAAAGATGACCCTTGGGGTATTGTTGAGTAGGAATTTAAAAGCCACATAGCCAAATTATTCAAAAGGGTAACAGAGTGCTCAGTGTGGCAGCACATATGCAAAGGGATAACAGATTTTTTTTTTAAATATCAATAAGGTATTTGGTGAGCTTATAGTAAACAGGTAATGGATTTAATAAAATGATCAGTAAGTTTATGGAAGACACTAATGAAAAGCTAGTTGTGAGCTGTGCCATACAAAATAATACAAAACACGAATGGCCAATTTAGCAAAGAATCACATTCTATGAAAAGCTTACAGACAAATCCAAAAGATTAAAAGTTCTATTGAAAATATGGGCAGTAAAAGTGACCAATGCAAGAGTAGAATGTTAGAAGATAGGGCTGTTGTCACAAACTAATTATTCATCTTAAAAATAAGACGAAAAGTGGATCCAACAGCTTATAGATGACAAAAAGAACCCTAAAATTAGTGACTTAGTGAAAAGACACAAAGAGCATTAAAAGTTTACAGAAATAATAGTATTTGTAAAAAATAACACAAAGGGCATTAAAGTTTATTTACAGAAATAACAGCATTACAAATATAGGGAAAGAATTCAGCATAGTGATTAGTATATCACTATGTACATAGAACCCCAAATAGCCATAATAAAAAAAGCCTTTCCATGTCACATCATAGCCAGAAGTCCAAGACAGGGGCAGAATTTTAAATAGTGCTGGAGAAAAGCAACAGAACACTTATGAAAGTAAACCCATTAAGATTACAGCACACTTCTCAACACCTTAAAGGCCAGAAGAGGTGAAGTATTTCAAGCCCTAA